TCTCCAGGCTTCAAGCAAACAAAAGTTCCGTTTGGGAAAAGGCTCAGAAATAAACACCTTCTGAAAAGTTAATGATCTGAACGGGCCAGGAAAAGCAAACAGGAAAAAACACTTTGCTGGAAGACAGCAAAGAAATTCCACTGGAATCTGCCACAGAACGGAATTAGTAAAAGATCACTTTGTGGTCTATGAGGACTAGTGACCATGAAAACAAATACAACCTCCTGTATCTGAAACAATACAGTTCAGAAATAAACCCAGGAGCCACGCTGCCCCATCTACCACCCTGCTTCCCACCAAGACCCAGATCATTAAATAATGTTCAAATTAAGCAGCGATGCCAAGAATCTGCTGCTTACAAAGGATTAATTGTTGTCAACTACTGCAGTGTGACCAAAGACCATATTTTCCTGTCAGTAACTGAATTTCTATTAACAGCATAATTTCTGCATCTCATTAGCAGAAACTGGACTGAAAGGAAGTGAAGGACCTGAGGCAGTGTGGTCCTTCCTGATGGGCCCGACCTCCTCTGACACTGCAGTCGGCAATACGAGATCTCATCTGCACTATACATCCTTTTTCCTGTATTTCCATATTTATTTCCAGCAGTAACGCACTAAACACCGCGGAGTATAAAAAGTATTAATTTACTTGGTTGAGACTTTAATTCAACTGAATTCTAATCTAACCATTTATACAGCAGGGTCCTGTACTGCAGTAACGTGTGTCATTCAGTGGCAGAGTGCTATACTGTCAACCACTCTAAATACCTCACGTAAAGCACTGGAGTACTGAAGAACAGGCATGTATGAGCGTGGGGAGCTTAATCCATGTCAAGTCTGACTGCACTAGGCAGGACTGGTAATTACACAGGCGACACCATCTGCACAGACTGCCTGCTAGGTGCAGTAGATGCGAATGCAAAACAAAGAGAAAACAAGCCTGGCAGATTAGCAGAGCAGTTTCCCATTCTCAGCTTGCTCAGCCCTCAGCTGGCAGTGCATTCCTCCTGCAGACACACAGCCTCCTTAGGAGCACAGAACACACATAGACTTGCGCAACAGGCTTGAGCCCATACCAGTGTCAGCAGAAGACACACAATCAAGAGCAGGCTGGACACATTTAGCACTTTGGTGTTATTTTTTCTGTGGGTGTGTGAATTCTTCCCACCCAGGCCAATATGAATTACAAATCATGCATCTAATATGAGTCCTGTCTCCAGAGTCACAAAGCTGTTCACACCAGGCTAAGCTCACTATACTTTCCTGTACTGACATGGAAAGGATTTAAACCTCCAACACATGAAAAACCTGCAAAACACCTTCCAACTTCATTACCTGGGAAATGCACACACATGTACCAAACCTGAGGCTTTACAGAGCAGGGCAGGGTATGTGTCCTTACAAGAATGAAACTATTGAAATTCATGTTGCTGAGAGGCAATAGCATGAGCAATACAACACTGTTCATCTGGGCGTAAGTCAAAATTCCTAATTAGGCCTGCTTCAAAGTTTGCATTTTGCTGCACATTTGCAGAAATCAGAAAAGCACAACTACTTAAACTGGGTTAATATGCACAAATGTATTTGCAACCACTGAGCTACAGCACTGTACACAAATTCTTTAGATATAAGGAATAAAACTGCCATCCTTAGGGCAAATATATTATTAGAATTATTTGCAAAGTTACCAACAAATCAAATATAAGCCTGTCATGTCAGTAATACTGATTAGTTTAGCCGTGGGTGCAGTAGGATTTGAGTGCCTGCCTATAGGATATCAATAACATGCTACAGGAAAAACTGTATCAGTCACATGCTAAAACATGTGCAGTATGTGCTCTGCCCTCTGTGTACTGTAAGTACTGGCTAAACCTGAAAAACTTTTAGGAAAGGGGAGATTCCCTCATTCCCTCATTCAAATGTTTCTGACAAAATCCCAAATTTTAAATCTGCCCTTTCAAAACTTCTAAAACAGGTTCCCTTTGAAATATCAGGTATTGACGCAAATAATCTTGTACCTAACTTGCATTAAGAAGTATAATATATTTACAAAACAACAAGTCTGGCCAGCAGTGGGTAGGTGATTCAATTACCCTAAATGGGGTTTTAAAGTAAGTAAATTAAGATGTGAATTTGGTTTCAGATAAAACAGACTTAAAGACCTCTTATTATGTCTTGATTTCCAAAGTACTATTTATCTCTGAATATGTACACTATGTGACAATGTTTGTCTTCTGTCCTATTTAAATTTGTACTGTATATGTTGTATGTACTGTATGTCTTATCTCTTTTTTGCTGTACCGATAGCAAATTCCACCAACTATTGCTGTGTGGCAATAAAGAATAAAGAATTATCATATCCATTAGATAGCTATCTGAATTGTAAATGTACCACATATGAACTGTATATATTAAGGATCTGCAAAACACACAAAATACAAAGAAGAGATGTAAAAGGTGTATTGTTTGCCCATAGAATTCTCTCTACCCCTGAGATTGTCTCAGTGCAGCACTACGTTAACTCAACAATGAGGAAGATTTATTCAGATAACCTGGTGCGCACACACAAAGTAATTACAAGCAACCACTCCAGAAAGCATTTATAACTTCATCTGAAATCAGCTGGATAAAACTGGGTCACACAGACGTTTTGCGAGAGAATCCAAAGAAAACGGAACCGGATCTGCACTGTAGTACAGAAGTCTAATTTGGGGTTCAAGTTTGACCTATATAATTCACTTATTGAGGCTCCACTCTCTCTCATATATATACACTCACTGAAATACTGTATGGATAGAACACACTATAAATGGTTTAATGACTTTTTAAAAAGTGCAGTCCATGAAGGGAATACATCTCCAGTGTTGTACAGGTTAAACACAGCTGTTTTTTTCCCCAGTAATAGGTTTTTCATCAGATTCCTGCTGAAGAGGGCTTTGGGTGGGTTTCTACTTATGTACAGCAATCCAAGGACCAGATGTCATGGTTATGAAAAACCAAATCAAGCTTTTAAGCTCCTGAACAATCCATGGAAGAAAACGCTGCTGACTTGTCGGGTCGACATTCTCCGCAGGGATTTCACTGCCTGTTTAGCCATCGCATTTGCACATTGGTCTGGTTGAATAACATGCAATAACATCCATACATGAAAGAACAAACATATGAGCTAATATAGATGGGGCAAATAAGAATTCTAGAAGCTTATTTGAAGAATTGGGCTGTCTTCAGCATTTGTCAAACATGCTGAACTGAACAGGCCAGGTCTCTCTTCTACAACTCTCTAACTCAATTACAGGCAGCTCAGGCATCTGGCTGTCGAGCTCTGCTGAAGCAGTGTCACAGCCACGCCAGTGCACTCCTTCAGACACACAGGCCCACTGGGACATTTCTCCCAAGAACACTTCTGGAAAAATACGCACTAGTCAACCTGCGCCCTTCGTGTCTTGTGCAACACGGAGGCCTGAGATGGGGCAGGGAACGAAATGGTAGCATTATCAATAAGATTTCAACTTCCAGCCCTGTAAACACCCTGATGACATCACCGACTGCAGGCTGTCCTGTTGACATTCCGTCAGACCAGCCTGACTGCATTCCAGCAGAGTCCCTGCTGCCCAGCACACAGCCGCTGCCTGTCAGCCCCTGCTCCCGGGGCTCAGCCTGCAGCTGCACGGCTCCCGTTCTCATCCCCTGCACACACATCTAATCAAGCCCCCGCTGCTCCACCATGCCCACACAGTGCTTTTTCTGTGTCACGACTCAGAGCCTAGCACGACAATCCAGCTCGCCTAACCGCTCTGAAACACGGCCGTAAAAAAGAAAGAGCACACTCAGCCCCAGAGGCTCAGCCTGTTTGTGCAGAGTACAGGACTCCCCCCGACCTGCTGCGGAGAGAATGTGACTCCCCCCTGCCTGGGATACTAGTCTCTCAGTTTCCCCCAGCAGGGCTGGTGTGGCTCAGGGGTCAGAACAGCAGGGTCTGCAGTAGGAACTTGAACCCACAACCTTTCAGTTTCAAGTGCTGTGTGCTGTCCCGACATCATGTAGGGCATTTTAATAAAGTACACTGCATCAAATTGTGACACCCCTTTGTCGTCGTGACCAATGCTTTGTGCACATCTGACTATGTAATCAAGCCCAGGACTGATACACTCATCTGTCCGGTTGCAAGTGCATCATCAAAACAGTTCGCTAGAGTTTCAGTGCAGGGCCTGGGACCATATTCCAATCAATATGCTGCTGTTACTACAGTCCAGTTCAATGAACTCAGCAATCCGGAGGTTTTCAAGTGAGGGGAGAAGTGTTTGTCTATGAGGAGGGCACTCCACATTTCCCTTCATCGTGCTAGACATGAATTACTATTCCATGTAGCATAAAGATAGCAACATTTTTTTCTGAAATACAACGTTAATATCAAGTGATGTCCAGGAGTCAGGTGTAGAGTGCTTCACCTTTATGTTTAATTCAGTTCATGTTGCATCTTTTCTTACACAGCATATGCTAACTAATAACTCAATATTGTAGCAGCTTCGTACAGTACACGATGGCCAAGACATCAGGGATAAAATATATTGAGATGACTAAGCCACCCAGCCTTCGGCACCCACACATTTACTCAAGTTGGACATGGCTCTCTGTTGCACAAAGAGGGTGCGGTGATTCTTCATCTTATATTTGAAAAGGGTGTCATGTTGAGCAACAATCACAGAATGCAGAAACATTTCACTACAGTGTTCCTATATATATATAAACGCCGAAATAAAAGAAATTACTCGGGAAGCGAGTGCTTTTCTGCAGAAATCAAACCCCGCTGTTCCAGTGGGACTCGTTTTATCGGCCAACTCCGCTAAAAGAGTTTCTTAAATTTTAAAGGGCACCATCCAAGTTCTGTTCCTAATCTGCTCCTGGGACGCAGACGCGTCTGAACCCCCGAGGTGAATTAATAACCTGATGAGCCGCATTCACCCTCCCCCGGCTGAGCCGTACGGCGCTCGGACTCACCGTTCAGCCCGTTCGGGGTGCTCCTGTGGTGGTGCGGGGCAGTCAGGTCGTCCATGGACCTCCGGACGGCCGCCGCCTTGGCCTCGGCGGGCTTGTGCGGGGGGATGTGGTTGTGGTGGTGATCGGGGCTGCCGGCGCTTCCCGCGCTGGACGTGCTGCTGCCGTCGCCGACGTCTCTCATAGTGCTGGAGCCGCCGTTCAGGTTGGACAGGCTAGACTGGCTGTCTATGGAGCTCCGGGACCCGGCCCCGTTCCGCTCCTCGTCCAGCATCAGGATGATCTCCTTCAGCTCCACGTTCTCCCGCATCACCGACTCTTGGTTAGCCTCCAGCTCCTTCAGTTTCTGCTGGTACGTGCTGACCTCCTTCCACATCACGCTCGCCGTGTGCCTGCCGAACCGCTGCCACTCCCGGGACAACTTCTTGCCCTTTTGCCTGTCGTCGTCCAGGAAGCAGCACAGCTCCCTCAGTTCGTGGTTGTCATCCTGGAGCTTCTGGTTGATGTCCTTCAGGCCTCTGATTTCGTGGAGGTGAACCTGTAGCCTCCTGTTCACATCCTTCATCAGGTTGCCGTGCTCCACCATCAAGTTCATTTTCTCGTTATCCGTCTTTCTCAGTCGTTTTAGCAAATCCTCTTTGCTCCATTTCATCAGTTCCTCGTCCGATATCTTACTCAAGTCTTCCCTGGACTGGTCCAGCGAATTTTTAGCCATATTATCTCTCTAGTATCACTATCTGTGTTTTTTTAGTTTTATTACAGAGAGGAGGTATTTTATTGTCTAACAATGCCTCAACAATGACATCGTATCCAGAGGAAAGAGCTCATAAAGCCCCAGAGAAGGACACACAGAATCCGATAATAATAGTACACCGCCCTGAGCCCAAGCAGGTCCCCAGTGTTTTAAACCAGACCCGTCGTTTCAACTTTACCTTAAAAAGACGGCTGTTCCACTGCTATTTCTGAACCTCTCGCTTTCTGTTTTGCTCTGTCTTACAAAAATAACACCCCTGGATCAAAAAATAATAAGAAGACTTTCAGATGGGTGACCCAAAGAAATATCCCGTCGATTCCAGGACCCGACCTGCGCTGCCGCAGTCACGAGCGATGG